CTTTCGCCAGGTGCTGCCTCGCGCCCAGCTCTCCCTGTGGGCCTGGAAGCATTCGCCTTTCCTACTCTGTAGCACGCGCTCTGGACACATCTTAACACCCGAGCCAAAGTTAGTCAATAGGCTCTTCCTATCTGCCTCCCACCCCTCCTGGCACCAAGACCCCAGCAGCCAAAGCGGCTAGGGAGCTGGTCCCGTGGAGCAGAAGGCCAGACCCACTGGCAATAACGGGAACCTGAGCTCTCACGAAGGACTCATGAGCAAGGAGAGGGGGCGGCTGGGAAGCAGCCCCGCGTGCAGGCTACCATCAGGGTATTGGCAGGAGCGCAGAGGGCGGTTTCGGACGCAGGAAGGGTGGTAACGCACGCGTGCACACCTGTGTTTGCACGAGCGCCCCCGGGCCTGCAAAGAGGGAGCCCCGCAGCATCCAGCACACACAGAGCTCAGAGCCCGGCCTCCATACGCCATCCCCCCTCCCCGAAGGGAACCAGGTTCCTGGCGAAGTGCTGGAGGGGCGGGGAAGCCCCAGAGGCTCCGGGACGCCACTCAGGCCAGTCAGACCAGGATGCTTCAACAACGAGGGAGACACTTCAAAAGGATATAGAAACCAGCTTGAAGGAGCTTCCACTGCCCACATCTAGAAATAACGAGAGTATTGATTACAACCCACTGAACACAACAGGTGTCCACGGTCCCTGCCACTGTGGTGAGCCGACAAACGGATGGACGGATGGACGGAGGAGGGAGAGCTCTTCGTATGCAGAAGACAACTGGCAAATGCAGAAGGCACCACGGGCACCTCTGATGGTGGCCACGGAGCCTGGCGGGCGTCAGCAGTGGATGCTGAGGCTGGAGGAGGGGCCTGGAACGTCTCCTTACTCAATGCCCACAAACGCTGGCGGAACCACGAAGGAGACCCTGGGGAACGTGGCTGAGCCAAGTGAACCCGTGACCATGGTGCGGCCAGCAGGAAGGTCCCCACACGCAGGCCTCCTGATGTGATGGACTCAACAACAGAGTACCCATCGAGACGGGAGGCGTCTCTGCCAGTCACCGGACCCGGCTGGAGGGTCACCTACACACGCAATCCCGTCCTCTTCGGCACTGTCCAGAACGGGGACATTCGGACAGAATCATGTGGCGTGCCAGCCGGACGCCCCACACGTCCCTGCTGGGAGCCAAAGATGCTGCCGGGTCGGGGGCAAGGTGGGAGCAGGTGGTAGGACAGGAGGACTTCCCGCCTGGGAGGCTGTGCGGCATCGTGCCAGACAGCGCCTCACAGCGCCGGCCTTCGGGGGTGCAGGATATCCCATCACAGGAAGACTACATACGGTACATACATGTAGTACACACACTCACACACACGTACACGTGAGACACGTGATGAGGTGCGTGGGATGCAACGTTCAGAACCAAGAACCTAAACTAATGGAGCTCTGTGTGCTACTCCTCCAACTTTTCTGCAGGTTGAAACTATTTTCAATTAAATGAAGCTGTATTTTTTAAAGTAAATCACTACATTCTGGGAAGGCAGCAACAGGGGCAGCAGTTTCTTGATCTTCCCAAAGGCCCACGTAAGACTTATGCAACCAGACGGCAAAACCTAAAACGAGCAGACGGTATTTAGAGCAAAGTCAGCGGAGATAAGCCTCAGGCAACCACAAGCCTGAATGGTACCACAAAACTGTGCAGGACAAGCTAGAGAAACATGAACGGGCACCACCAGGCCTGGAAACCCCAGGAGCCAGCAGGTCTTCGGAAAGGCAGGCAGTGGCTGAGGGCCTCACGCAGACAAGACCGTGAGGTGGGATACCGAAGCCGAGCGGGACAGGGGCAGTGGAGACCGAGCGCGGTCTGGGAGCACGGAGGGGAGGAGAGCAGTGCCGTGGGCCTGAGAGACAAGCAGCCGCGCCTCCATCACCATATGAAGACCACGTCAGAGGGGCTCCGAGCAGTTCACAGACGACCTCAGACACCTCCTCCTAAAAGTTCAAGAAAACTAAATTCACATGAAAGGAGAACAGGAGAGCACTAAGGCCAAATCCCACACGAGTCAGTACTAGGAAAAAGAAGGTAAGGAGGATGAATGACATCTCAACAGACAACGGAAAACACCATGAATGCGTATTAAAAAAACAGACCGAAACTGTAATGTTCTACCATAAAACAACTTAAAAGATATTAAGAAAATGGTAGCAGTCATGAGAGAACAACGTAAGCTGGAATCCGCAGAACTCAGGAGGTGCCAGAGTCAGGAAAAATTAGAAAGGAAACTGAGGAACGAAGGCCAAACCACAAGAGCAGAGCCTCGAGCCCGACAGAGGCCCTGAGGCAGGAGCGGCTTGGAGGGAAGCATGAATGCCGACAGCAAAGTCAACACAACGTCCCACAGCTGGGAGCCCCAAAGAGGAAGCCGAGTAAACCCAACAGGAGAGAAGGTGTTCCCGAATAAAAGCACACCTGAAACTGCTGTTGGAGGGACTCAACCCAGAATAACCAATTCCAAGTAAAATTAAAGACTCTTAAAAAAAAAAAAAAGAATCCTTTGGGCAAAAAGAACACATGATATACAAGAAAAATAAAATTAGACCATCATCAGGCTTGAAGAGCAACACTTTATGCCGGGAATAAATATCCAAGGTAACACGGTTACGGTTCTCAAGGTAAGAAAATGGAGCCAAGGATTCGAAGGCTATCAACACAGATCTTTAGGTACACAGGACACAAACTGTCATCCACGTGTAAGAACTTGGGGATGTTGTTCCCACAAACTATCCCAAAGACTGTGGCAGAGAATGAGACTCAGAAAACCAAAAGGACTGCACGGACACCACCAGTGCTAAACACACAGTCACTCAAGGAACGAACGCCGAGGGAGGGGGAACGGGATAGAGGCAAAGACGGGACAGCTAGACCACGCACGACTTCAGCCGTGAGTGAAGATCGTGTGCAGGCTATGACAGGCCACGTCACAGCCCAGCCCACCCGAGCAGGAAGTCCTTGCTCCCACCCTGGCACCCAGCCCACCCAGCCGAGACGTCAAAAGGCCTTTCCCTGGGACGAAAGCTTTTTCCCGAGAATAAGAGCCACCCCGACAAAGCCTAAGACCAAACCTGGACAGGGAAGGCAGAGGGTGAAGGGGATTCCCACTAGGTCCCAGGGGCACCGACACCAAAATGAAAAACAAAGCATCCAAGTCCAGATACCACCTGCTGAAACAAAAACCAGCACTCTTGAGAAGACAAAGCTGGTCTCTCATCCTGTCCTCCACAATACCCAGCATCAAGCAACAATCACTAGACATGCAAAGAAACAGGAACACGAGACCCACCACTGGGGAGAAAAGCAGGGACCAGAGACTGGCGCTGAGGCAGCCCAGACGCTGGCCTCGAAAATGCACTAAATCAGCTTTTATACACAGGCCAAAGGCATGATGGCCCGGGAGATGCGCTCTCAATACGTGAGCAGACAGGGAATCTTAGCAAAGAGTCAGAAACCCTGAGAGAGACTGACTAGACACCCCAGAGGCCCAAACACCAGCAAGTGAGAGCTTCACTGGGCGGGCTTCACTCTCTGTCAACGACACAACCCTGTGGGGTCTGAAGACTTAAACCAGGAGAGACTGTCCCTGTGAGGACACAGAGAAGAAAGATGAAAGAAAACTGAACAGTGTCAGAGACCCACGGGCAACATCATCAGGTCCAACATACGTGTAATTGGAAACCCCACTCGGAAAAAACAGACTGGAGCAGAAAAAAAATTTTGAAGAAATAAAGGCCGTAATGTCCCAAATTTGAGGAAAAACACTGACCTACACATCAAAGAACCCCCAGCAGGCTAAATGTCAACAGAACCCAGTCCAAACACAACCCAAACTTCTAGAAATTGAGAAGATAATCTCAAAGCAGCCAGAGAAGGGAGAAGCAGCAGGTGTAGGGCACAAGCGTAAACCTCGGTGGGGCCAGGAAGACAACAGAGCTGCCCCTTTCACAGGAGAACAAAGGTCAAATGGATATTACAGCTGTTTCTCAGGTTTAAGAATAAGAGTTTTGCAATTTTGGGAAACATGCTCCCACCTTTTTTGTGACCTGGAATAAGACAGCCCAGCATTCAAGTGGGAGTGTCCTTGGAGGCGTGAAAGACGTCAGCAGTAAGACAGAGGTGCCCAGGGAACAGGCGAGAAAGCGCAGAGCATGAAGGGTGCCCGGTCCTTGGGCACACGTATCCTTAGTGTGTCCTTCCCGAAAATTAAATGACATCTATCTGGATACGCCCAGCTTATCCAACAATGTAGAAGAAAATAAATCTTAAATGAGAAAAACACTGTCAACCCAGAATTTTATATTCAGGGAAAATATTCGAAATTGAAGGAGAAACACTGGCCCTTTCGAGTAAACAGAAGCCGAGAGAACCCATCATCAGCGTACCACACAAGAAACGCTGGGTGCTGCCCTTCAGGCCGAGGGAAACGCTGCTAGTGCAAGCCCGGACCAGCACCGCACCACCGGAAGCCGTGACCTCGTGTCAGCGGGAAAGGCCACGTGTGCTTTCTTCTCGTAATTTACTTAAAAAACTAGTGACGATCTAAGCAAAAGTAACAACACTCCGAGGTTGGGCTTGTAACTACATCAAGATATCACCACGAACAAAACAAGAAACAAAATCGGACAAACAGAAGTGGGCAAGGGCCCCTTTCCTTCCTCCAGGCCTGCATCACGTGTGCTGCTCCAGGCCACCCCTCCGACACAGTCTGCCCGCGCTCCCTCCGCCGGCGGTCCAGCCTCGCGGCACCCGACCCCGGCCAGCAAACCTCCTCGCGGACAGAACCGCCAGCTCACGGCATCTCCACGACAAGCCGACGTGAACGTCATACAAGTATTCCAAGGAAGCGCTGCACGGAAATGTAAGAAGGCCGGTCCTCGGGCGTGTCCGCCCGCCTGGAGAGCTGAGCCAGGAGGTGCTCCCGGGCCCCACACGCCCTCGAGCACTGCTGCGCTGCGTACCTCTGTCCCCGAGCCCGGTCCTGGGGAGTCCACTTTCCGCTTCTTCCTGGGCCCGATGGCGGCGAGGGCGGTGAGGTTGGCGTCACGCTGCCGCATCTGAGCCAGCTCTTGTTGCTGCATCTTCGTGTCGAAAGAGAAACGAGACCATCATTTCATGCACGTTACCTTCTACTACAAAAGTAGCAGCAAAGGATCTTTGGAAATTGTCTAAATTAAAATTTCTTTACTGTTTTGACTATAATGGTTAAGCTTATCCTGCAATCGGAAAAATCATAAACCAAAACAGATGCTCATCTTGAGCAGCTCAGAAAATACAACAAGCTGTGTGTGTGTAAAGGCTGAAGGCACGCAATGAGAATTACTGTCACCCTGAGGAGGGCACAGAGTCTGCACCTCTGCAAACATCTCCTATCGCTTCGTCACAGAAATGCCACCTTTCCTCCCCTTTCTTTGGCTGGACGATTAGGTTACGTAAGAACCTATTCCCTCTCTCACTGTCTCTCTCTCTCTGTCAAATAAATAAATAAAATCTTTAAAAAAAAAAAAAAAAGAATCTATTTCCAAGCATATAGTAAAGATTTTTGACTAAAAGACCTTACCTCTTTTGCCTTCTGTTTCAACCTTAATTGTTCTGGATCTTCTTGTCTGGATCGAGACTATTTTTTAAAGTAAAAACAAAAATAAATTATGACCTAAATGTCTATCATCTAACAAATGTGCTATCTTATTCACGATATAATATCCAGATCATACGACAGAACACATACTACATTTTTAAATGCTTATTTACAGCCAGAAGATGAAAATTTAGCCTGCACATCATGGTAAAAAACAACCATTATTCTTAAGAAAATCAATCCCACTGGAGAAGAGCTCAGAGGCGGTCATCACCATGCCCACCGGGCACAGGAACCTGACAGACGGTGTGCCAGGACGGCCCGCGGGGCTCTGGACTCAGGTCCACATCCCACCCACGGCCCCCTCCTCAATCACACACATCACATTTTCTGCAGGGCCGGCCCCCCAACACCGCGCTGGCCTCCCGGAGCCCCGAGTGTGCGCAGGTGCCCAGGGCAGGGAGCGGCCCTGCCGAGTGAGGTGCAGGTACTTGCCTTGGCCGCTCGCATAAGGATTTCTCTCTCCTGCTCATCTTTCCTCTGTTTTTCAATTTGGTCGAGCTGCTCAAAAAATTTGAGCTGAGCCCGGACGTCACTTGCCTGCTCGTATCTGTCATCATCCTACAAAAAGGTAAAAAAACACAGTCATAAATTTGAGAACTGGGCTGGGCAGGCTGCACACCAGCCCGCCTCCCAGAGCAAGTCCTACAGAACCTCCACGCACCCACCCCTCGTCCCCAGACGGCCTGCGTGTTAACACGCAGACAAGCGAGTGTCAGGAGAGCAGTGCTAGGGCTCAGGGGGGTTTCCACCTTACACACTTCGGTATCATTTGATTCTTTATTTTAACTGCCACTCCGACGGCACCGGCCTCACTCAGTTGGGCCCCTCTGACGAGTACTCGTGTGAGGGAGGGAAGAGGAAGGCGGACCCGGCCCTGCAGCCGGCCCCCTGGACCCTCCACAAAACAGGGCAGTGTTCCGAGTCACGGGAGCAGGTGTGAGCCAGAGCCACTCGGTCTGCAGGGCTAGCTCGAGGCCACAGGGGCACAGGGTGGAACCGGCAGAGGCTCCGCGACCTCCAAGGCCGGGCAAGCCACCTCCGCCCCAGCCCCAACCCAGGCTAGACCCCTGCTGTGCATCCTCATGCAGGCCAGGCTTCCTTCCCCAGCCGGGGCACATAGCGCCCGAGAGCACCGTGGGCTAAGAGAGGCGGCATCTCCCCCAAAACGTAGCTCCAAGAGACATTCCTGTGCCGCCCCCCACGCCTGGTGCGGGAAGAGCCTTCCCAGCAGCCCTGACTTCGAGTCCACGGCAAGCGTGGCCTCTTCGGGAGAACAGTGTGTTACCTTGTAAGAGAAGTTCTTCTGCTGAGCCGTTTCTGATATTTTTTCTACAAGGTTCTGTAGCCTCTGCTGGGTGGCGTGGGATACATAACTCACTACGTCTGGATGCAACTCCGTGATGCCGTGTTTTTTACCTGGGGGTAGGCAACACTTTACAAACGTCGCTGTTCTCTCGTCCACCGCTCAGAGCAATGTGAGGGCAGCCCAGGCAGGCCCTCCGGGTGGGAGGGGGTGGTCTACATCACTGCCACTACCTGAGAACCACTGGCATCAACCACGTCGGACACGGGCAAAAGGGGGGACAAGGCACCAGGCATGTTCGCTGGGGCCTACGTGCCCCGCCAGGGAGCCACCAGCAGAGGGCGGCTCCACGGAGGACTACAGCGACGCGGGCACACCAGAGGTCGGGGGACGGCCGGAGCGCGCCCACATACCTATTTCTAAGATTCTTCTTTGTAAAGGCGCTGGTAAGAGGAAGGTTTCGTCCTTACAGGACCGTGTCAGGGTGCCCACTAATTCAGAGTTCGTGGCTAATATTCGTGCACTTTCTTCCGACAGGTTTACTCCCGCCATCGAGGCCACATCATTGATGTCATCGTCATCCCTTCAGAGAAGAAGACAATGCTGAGCGAGGGGCACGTCAGGAGGTGTACTCAGGGGGCATAACCTAGTGGGACCCTGTGATAGAAAGCATGCGGATGCCCCTCCAGGCGTGCGTCCCAGCAGCTCCCGCCTGCCCTGCGCTGTCACCGGAACAAGGAGGCCTAGCGATCTTCTCTGAAAATGAAACTGTTCTTTTAAAGGAAGATCCGCCAGGGGTTAAAGTCGCACGACTTCTGGCGTGAGGATGTGTGCAGAGGGCTCCCCAGGCACGGCTAAGTTGAGGGAGCAAAACCCAGCAACACTGTCCTCACAGCTTCTAGGAGTTTGTTCCAACTGAAATCTTTCTTTCTTTCTTTCAATTTATTTATTTGACAGAGACACAGCGAGAGAGGGAACACAAGCAGGGGGAGCGGGAGAGGGAGAAGCAGGCTTCCCGCTGAGCAGGGAGCCCGATGCGGGGCTCGATCCCAGGACCCCGGGATCATGACCTGAGCCGAAGGCAGACGCTTAACGACTGAGCCACCCAGGTGCCCCCCAAGTGAAACCTTTCTTAAAAAATCAAAGAGCATTAATTTATTCATAAAACAATCGCAGTTATGGAAAAGCAGGAGTACGGGGTGAAGGACTCTTTTCTTCCCGAATCACCTACGGGGAAGCTGCCAACCTGACTCCCCGCGCCCCACCACGGAACACCCCACGTGTGCTCCCTGCGCCCAAGGGCGTCCCCTACGGAGCAGCCGGGCGACCTCTGCAAGCAGGCCGCCAGCCACGCTCACAGCCCCTCCGCGTGGCTCTTCAGCCTCCTTAGCCTGGAAGGTTCTTCAGCCTTTCCTTGGCTCTCGTGCCCGTGACACATGCAAGGCCACAGGCCAGGCGTCTTGTAGCACATCTGTGTCCCCATTTGACCGATGTCCCCTCCCCTCGTGACAAGAATGTCCCACAGCCCCGCAGAGGCTGGGTTTCCTTGGTCCCTTCCTGATGCTCTGAGCTCCAGCCCTCGGGGGTCCCTGCTGGTTTCCCCCTTCCCCCTAAGCTTCCCGTTTATTCATTCCCATGGGCTCGTGCTCTCCCGTCTCAGCCAGTGGCAGAAGCTGTCACTACACACACAGGCGGGGGGGAAAGGAGGCCCTTCCGGGCGACTTCTGTCAGCTCTGCCGCGGGCCCATCCACCCCAGCACTGCTTCCTGACCTAACGAGATGCACCAGCTCACACTGCAGAGACCCCAGAACCAGCCCTTCTAAGGTGTCTGGGTCATGACAGCAGAACAGCTCTCAGAAGACACGGTCTGAGCGCTGGGTGTGCTCACCACCACCCAGCGCCTCCAGTGCACAGGGCAAGGAGCTTTGTCTCCTTCCCCCGATGTGTGTCCAGACACTGAACCCTGAGCTAACCCAGCACCGCAGAGACCGTCCTAACAACTCCCTTCCCCCACAGAAAGACAGCAGGGTTCCCAGTGGCCTTTGCTCTCTTACTTCTCTGACCTGCAGATGGACCCCCTCCCCGCCCCACCGGGCGCCCCCTCCGTGCCAGGCCGCCCAGGCACAACGCCCTCCCCACCCCGCTGACGCCAACCCTGCTCCACCGGCCAACAGCGCTTCAGGGATGCCATCTGGGAGGGGGCAGCCCTGTGAAAACGCCCGAGACACGCGCCCTTTCCTGCTGCTTCACCGTTATCCACATCAGCTCTACGGCCTGTGTACCGCGTGTCCCTGACACGTAGCCCCTTGCCCGGCTGCTCGTCAAGAGCCCACAGTACAGCATTTCTGGAAGTTTTAAAGTTAAAGAAGGGCAAGTGAAGCATTCTGCTCTACAGCCATGAGGTTTCAGAACACTGAGGCGCGACATCACGGCGACAGGTTTTCTACTAGTTCGTACACTAAAGAACACTGGTTTACTCCCTGCTACGTGTCCGCAGCAAACCTCCCCGCGCTAACTTTGAGGGAAAACGTGCACACCAAGGTCAAAGTGAAGCGTGGAAAGAACACGGTATCGAAATTAGAGCGGCTGGCACCACGCAGGCAAGGCCAGCCCTGGGACACAGGCTCCCGCCCCGCCCCGCGGCCCGCGGTCGCTCCGCTCGGCGCGTGCAGGCCCACTCCTTACCGAAACGAGCCTCCCCCGGGCTCCTTGAGTTTGTTTTTCTGCGCAGCAGCTGCTTGAGCCGAGACGGCAGAGAGGGCTTTGGTTCCAGGGAGCACGGCGGGCTTCACCACGGGGACTGCAACACAAGACACCGATGGTATACCCACCAACACGCTGGGGCACACTCTGCAGCAGCCGCCGCAGGCTCTGCTGGGAGTCGCCGCCGCCGCTCCGGTCCCTGGTGGCCGGAGGGGAGGGTACCACCGCTCACCGGCCATGATGAAGCCGGTAGAAACGCCGGACTCATAGGCCACAGAATAGCCTCTCAAACACTTACTCTCCTGAAACTCATCGCGCTTTCTCAAGTGCAGGAGAGGCTTGGGACAGAAACCAGCAGCGCTAACCGTATCTGACTCTGGGCCCCCTGCCCTGACCGAGGCCAGGAGGCGATAGCCGCACAGGGCTCCACGTGCAGGTAACGGCACCAGACGGGGGGCCCTCACCTGGCTGCAGCTGGTTCAGCTGGATCTGCTGGGGTGCAGTGAGCACGATGCGGCTGTGAGGCTGCCGGAGAGCGACCATGGGTGTCTGCGTCAGCGTCACCTGGGGCGGGCGGATCAGCGCTCCGGGCTTGGGCGGCTGCTGGATCACCTGAGGCAGAGCCGCAGGCCCATCAGCACGACCCCCCAGGGCCGCCAGCACCCGTCCCCGGCCAGGGCCCCGCCAGGACCGGGACACCCGCGTCAGGCGCCACACGAGAGGCAAGTTCTTGGGGCAGATCTGCACGTGGGGCCTGAGGTCCTGAGGTCGTTGCAGGGAGGAGGCAGGCTGACTCAGCGGTCCAGCATGGAATATGCCTTCCCCCCCAAATCTCAGCGCAGGGGATACATTGCTGGGGGCTGCAGGGCACGTTTTCTCCACATCCGTCTCTAAGAGGTGTGCTGCCTTTTACACCGGGGGGGAGGTCAGATTTCCCAAGTCCTGCCCTGAATTCCACACTCAAGGAAGAGCTTCTCCGACCGCCTCTCTATGGGGACCTGCCCGCACTCACCACCCGAGGCTGAGCTCGGGGAGACGCCCCCAGAGCAGAGTCCAGCCCCGGCCATGTCCCTGCTACCCCTTATCCCAGGCCTGTGCGGCGCGGCACCGCCCTGCCTGGAGCCCTGTCAGCTGGAGCGCGCTCCCGCCTCTGCCCTGCTTAAGGTGCCAGCCACCTAAGGCCCTGTGACCAGCCTAGCGCCGCGCCCTGCCCAAGCAGCGCTCCCCGAGCTGCGCTGCGACACCCTCTCTGGGGCAAGAGAAACAATTGTTTCTAAATGTTACAAAGGTGACCTGCTGCATATGCCCTGGACTACGGGACTCTCACTGAGGGGACGGGGCAGTGCTCTGCTACCAAACTATCTCGGCAACGAAAACTCACACCATAAAGGAGAGTCAAGACAGCTATCGCCTCAAGGTATGCGCGTCAGGTTTTGCCATAAACTCAGGGAAAAGCCTCAGGTTTGCATCTCTACAGGCTTCGAGGCAGGGAATGGGCCAGGCTCGGGCCTGATCACACTGCTATCCCCCCCAAACAGGCACAGCATGTCTGGCAGGACCAGGGAAGCGGAATGTAGAAATGACCCTGCTGGTCAGGACAGCCTCTGACCATAAACCACAAATATGGGTCAGGTCGTTCACAACCACGCACTAAGACTCAAACCTTTCAAGGAAAGACGACTACCTACCGAGAGACCGCACCGTTTACGTAAATTAGCCCCAGTGGTGAGGGCAGTCCTGTACTCACAAATCTCTTCCCCTTGGCGCGAAAAAGACATGAGGGACCCCTGACTTCTCACGCACACCTTCGCCCCCCCACCCCCCGCACCGAAGTTCCCAGCCCCGCAGGTGAGATGCTCTCATCCACCAGTCAACGCAAAGACAGAGGCTTTCACCCGAGCAGGTGGGCAAACAGCCTAACGGACTCTGGTCGCTCACTCGGTTATTAAGTGGCCGCTACAGTAAAATACATTCTACAGCCCGCTATCAAGTGACAAGGGAGCCTGAGCTGTGCAGGTTTTTTAACTGTAGAGGAACTAAATCCCCTTGAAAGTTAAAAAAAAAAAAAAAAAAGTCAATTGCCTTTCTATGTTTGGGGAGCCCAGCTGCCCAGCACATTTGAAATGCAACTCTTCCCAGCAAAGACCTCCCCTTTTGCAGCTGCAGAACTCAGAAAACTGGACCCACACGGTAAATCACCCATCAGTACCCTGCAGCTTTATCTCACTGAGGCCCAAACAGCAGCTGCAGGGCTGGGTTCGAGGCCGTGAGACAAAAGGCCCGGCACCCTCTGCCTGAAGCACCATCACCAGGCACACACTGTTTCCTGTCTTGGGGCCATTGCTCCTAATCAAAGGTAACACCCCGCTAAAGATCCACCACAAACACACCGTGTTCATTTAAACCACAAATACCTGCAAACGATACGGGTAACAGGCCAGTGGGTTAAGAGCCAACATGCTTATTTCATCTTCCTGAGAACTCACTCACCAACTTGCAGTGCCGCCGCCTCTAGTTCATGCCTGAACTACTCAGGTAGCACCCACACTTCCCCGGTGGGAGCTTTCCTGCCTACTGGGAGGAGGCTTCCCTGCACCGTGGCCAATGTGTTCAAGAGGCGGGCGGGGGGCGGGGGGGGCAGGCAAGGCTCTCGCCTTCATACCAGCGGCGTGGGCTGCCCCTGCTTGCCAACGCCAACCTGTGTGGGCTGCGTGAGGCTGATGACAGGGGGCTGGAGAGCGCTGCTCACGGTGGCCGCCGTCTTCCCGGCCGTGCGCTGGACGGAGCTGCTCAGCACCACGGCCGTGAGCGCGGTGGTGGCCTGCGAGGCGGGCGGCGGCTGCTGCTGGCTCTGCTGGATGAAGGCTGCGGAGTCGGGGGTCAGCTGTCTCAAGGCGGGCAAGCTCCTCTGGGCGGAAAGACAGACACGGGGTCGGCGGCGGCTCGGGCACTGGGTTCCTTCCTCACAAACCCAGAAACTTGCAACTCTTGAGAAACAAGCCTCAAGCTCAACCAGGCCGGTTTTAGAGCCTTGACATCTCTACCCTGATGTTGGTGACGGCATCTGGCACTCACGGGCCCCAAGCCCGACATCAGCGAGCAGGATTATGCTCCATAAGAACCAAATAAAATTTGTTTAGAAAAGAGAAAGAGAAAAGAGCAGTAGGTCTAAAACGCCTTTCTTAAGAATGTCATGACGGCAAAGCTTACTCAAGAGGACCGACCTGATGCCCCTGAGCCCTGCTCCTCACTGGTGAGCCCCGCCCATCGGGCCTCCTCGCACCTCCGCAGGTGCGGGGTCAGGGGCCTCACATCGCACAGAAGAGCCTCCTGACGAGAACCTTAATGAGCATCACAGGGCACTTTCAGCCCTCAAGCCCGGCGGGGACACCCGCGTGCCCATCCTCCCCTCCGACAGGCCTACTGCAACCTGCCAGCGCACAGGGCTGCATGGGGGTGGTTCACAGTTACCTTCAGGAAAGGCACAAGGTAAGGTTGAGGTGAAGAATTAAGTTCTCGGTATAATCTACTAGTGAAATCTTCTGCTTCGATTTTTCCATCCTTAAAAACAAAAATCACAACGAAATTCTGCCGTGAATAGACGTTGACACACACATCCCTGTTCAGCATGTGCCAGTGCCCTGTGTGGCAGTCAGGGTTCTTTCTGCCAGGTCTTGGGTGGAACAGAGGGGACAGCACAGCAGAAGTCAGAAGAGACAACGACCTACAACAAAGACCCACACCAAGCCTCCAGGGGGAAGCCCAGGGCACGGAGGGAAGCGAGTGCCCAGACAAGAGGGGGCATGACTCTGTTCCGGAAACCAAAGCAAGTGTGGTCTGAGGGGAGGAGGCAAAGAGAGGTGGGTAGGGATGGGACCATCACGGGCCATCCTCGAGATGAGGCCGACACCTGGGGTCCCCACAGGAGAACATGAGCCTCTGCCTGACCTGTGGCCTTGGCATCAGTGTATCACCAGCAGCCAAACCCGGAGCTAACTAATGCTAAATTCAAAGAGGGAGCAGCCAGCAGGGTCCAGAAAGCCAAGAGGTCCCATGAGAAGGGTGGAACGGGGGTCCTGGCACCCTGACAAGAGCACAGCGGGGAGATGGGGTGTAGTGCTGGACCATCTGGGGAGCAAGGGATGGAGAGAGCCAGCCAGCTCCTTGGGGGCGGGCGGGGAACCACAGACACGGGACCGTGGGGATGAAAGAGAAAAACATTTATTTCATTAGAAATTTTCATTAGAAGGTAGAATTGTTACAATTAAAACAAACAAAAAGCCAGGAGTTTGTGTTTCTCATGGGAGGTAAGATCATTTTTCAATCTCTAAGTTCCCTGAAAATATTTAAGTATATGGTCTGAAACAATCCCTTGCTTGCGGGAGCACAACCTCTTTCCTTCTAGACCAAAACCAGCGTGGGCTGCATGCGGGGCACAGAGCCAGCCCCTCAGAGGAGGACGCGGCGTCTCTGAGAAGGGCTGTCCCTCAGGCCATCACCCCGGGGCCGAGGGCCTCCCCTCTGCCACCCACTCCCAGCTGGCTGCACCAGGAAGGTAGGCCCAAGGAGCCAAGAACCTGAGCCGAAAAACCCCAGCAGCAGAAAGACAGAAAGCATCCAAAAGCCCAGACATCAAACCACCAGGTTTCCTCAAGACAGAAATCAAAAGGAAAGAGAAGAGCAAGGAGGGACCATCCGGCCAAAGGAGACCAAGCGTCGACCGCAGTGCCCGCAGTTGACTGAGCCCTGGCTGGAACAAGCTGTAAGCAGCAGGGGAGGCGCCGGGACCATGCGTGGCAGCCAGGCTCTCGAGAGCCCCTGGGTCCCTAGGCTGGCGGGCTGATCACGTACGGCGGTGATCTTTAACAAGTGCCGTTCCGTGCCACAATATATATGGGATTGGGGGGGGGGGGGCGGTGCAGCAGCCACGAGATCAGGTGTGACTCGGTCACTGGGGAAGCCTAGAGACAGGACGCAGGGCTTCACGAGACTCTGCTTTCCACTTCTGACAGGTTTGAAACTCTCCATTACAGAAGGTAAAGCAGAGACGTGAAAGAAAGCGTGTAAAACGCCCTCTGTCAGGTGTGTTTAAAAACGCTCCTGAAGCCGATAGGACGCTTTCCAGTGGCCATGAACGGGGCCCACTCTCTTCACGTGGATGCCCTGGGAAGCGGGCCAGGCTGACAAATGGTGAGGCCACGAAGGGTCGGGGCGCGAGGCACTGGGCCCCACGGCGGCCTCTCTGCAAAGTCCCCAGGAGGCCAGCCTGGGCTGAGTGCCCGGCTGGGCCACGCACACCTGTGACAGGACTTCCCCTGCTCAGCAGCCCCCCGTGTGTCCCACAGACGCTCTCAGGCCAAGGGGCTCAGGGCCGCGCTCTTACCAGTAGGCTCTGTACTAGTTCTTTCACGTTAGCAGCTGTCTCTGTGGACTGTTTACCGGATGAAGCCAGCTTTATTAACGTAGACAGGAAATTTTTACACTTCTTCACGTTTTCCATGGTTTCCTGGATTCAAGTTAAAAAGATACAAGTGAAAAAGCGTTAAGGCAGATTTCCATCACAGCGTCAGGGTTAACTGAAATGTGCATTTGTATATAAGAAGACTGTATTTATCCCCTAATGTTCTTTCCAGAAAATGCAGTAACTTTCACGGGCTGCTGATGCTTAGTAAGCACGCCGACTGAGGGCCGCGAAGTCCACCCCTCACCCGGCCAGCAGCTCGACTCTCAGGAACGTCACTGGGTGAACAGCCATGAATGGAACTGAGAAGAACCCGTAAGATGTTCAGCACAACGCTGCTTTATCATAGAGAAAAGCTCACGCCTATCTAAGTGCACAGTAAGAGGAATTAAATTATGACGTTGCTGCTGAAGATGACGGAAAGCCCTGAGCAACAAGATGGGAGAGGAGAGTCCAAACAAAGTGCAACCCCGGGGGCTGCGAGATGCGCAGGAAGCTACGGTGCGAATAACGGGGACGTGGCTCTGGTCCACAGACACGGCCCACGTCCTCAAAGGCCACTGTCTGGGCTCCTGTCACGTGGACTCCTGTGCAGCCTGAAAGCCCAGCGGGGGACAGGGCCTTCCCGCCGCCCCTCAGAGGCCGCTGCTCTCACACCCCACCTGAGAGGCCGAGGTCCCCGGGCCCTGGAGGAAGGGAGGCTGCGGGCGGGTGGGCAGGTGGGCGGGCGAGGGCAGCAGCGCGCCTCCACGAGCCTCTCTTCCACCCCCGGGGGCGGGGGGGAACTCACCGTGGCAGCTGTGGAGGTGGTAGTGGCCCCTGGGACCGTTCGCTGAGGTGTCCCCGTCTGAACAGCCGTCGCCGTCCCGAGGGAAGTTGTCTGGGCAGCGCCACCCAGAACCAGCTGAGGCTATGAGAGTCCAAAATGCAAGGTGACCACAGGCTCTGCCGAGATGCCCTCATGTTCCCCAGAAGGCAGCAAGACCCCACAGAGGTGGAGCCCCAGACAAAAGCCCCCAGGGCCGCGGACCGAGCGCCGAGGGAAGTGAGATGGCGCACCTGGCCCAAGACCGCGAGCCAGGAAGCCCAGCGCGGGGCCCAGCTTGCGTCAGGGTGGCCAGTCAATTATCTCTTCTCCCAGAAACTAAAAGCAAAACAGAGAAACTACAACTGAAAATGCATCGCCTGACTCACGCAGACGCCGGAGGCAGGGAAGGCTGTCGCCAGTGTCACCTCTGGGGCGGGGCGTGTAGGCTGCGCCTCCGCCACCAGACCGGCCACTCTGCTCTCTCAAGAAACATCACGGAAAGGGGCTTCAGAGCAGACGTGCGCCCTGAGGGGGCGTGGGTGTGAGCAGGGAGGGGCACGTACTGAACACACTCATGGAGGCCAGCGGCGGCTGGACACCGAGGACATCTCTGGCGACCCAAAATGCCGCCCTGGGAGCCCCCGAGGTTTCATTCCACGTGAACCATCACGATATTTACTGGTCTGTCTCACTAGACGCTTCCAATTTATAAATGTAGCCTTCAACGTCTCTCCGACTTCCCCAACGTTACTTTCTTGCTGCTTCTGCACGCGGAGACAGCATCCCCGAGCAGAGTCGCGTGCAGCATGTCTGCTCCGCCAGGGCGCCTGCCCTCGCCAAAGTCCAGTGCGGCCCCCAGGGGCCCCCAGCTCAGACACTGGCCTGCCGTTCCTCACGGCCCATGTGCTCTCCCACCCGGCGCGTTCTCACACCCTACCCCTGCAACCAGAACTGCCACACACACGCTTCAAGGAAGAAAGTGTGGAAGGACGCACCGGGCAGCTGTCTCCGGGCAGCCGGGACACAGTGGGACTGCTTCTGGACGCCCAGAAAGAGCAGGGCACTTCTGATCCTGTCGGGGTTTCCCTCTACCTCAAGATATACCCCTCGCGCTCCCTTCCGACGGTCCGACAGATACGTGTTTCCCTATAGGACACCGAGATGGTGTCTGCCTATTTTGATAAATTCACTCTCCACTAAATTTGACGCAAAAACGGACGGTGAGCTTCCGGACCCTGCCAGAGAAGTGGCCTTTCACTGTGACTGAAACTCAGACGTGCCCACCCCACGGAGCCCAGGACGCACACTGCGTCCCAGGAAAGCGTCCCCGGGGGTCTCCGGCCACACACAGGTCCGCCACTTAGCTCCCGTGTGCTCCTCCAGGTGCTTCGGAGAGCAGCATCACCCACGCAGACACCTGTAAACAGCCCCTGAAGACGAGATGCCGCCAGAGGGATGGGAGACCCAGGGCGGGGCCGGTTCCTGCCCCCCGCAACCACCCCGTGCCACTCTCAGCCTCCGCTTCCTCTCCAGGTAACTGCAACAGAGCCTACCCCCAGCACTGCGGCGGGGGCTGCACAACAATGAGCATCGAGGGCAGCGCCTCCCGGCTCCCAGCAGATGCCCAACAGACAGAGGCTACGGCTGTGCATTCGTGACAGGCACGCACAAACACCTGAAGAACAGAACAGCTCAGAACCCCGTTCCTTCCAGCTGCTCCGACCGCACTGCCCAGGGCCACCTGCTGCCCTGACCAGGGGTCCCCTCCCCTCTAAGAGAAGGGGCAGCCACGCCTGTGCATGACCGCTCTTCTCAGCTTTCCAGACCAGAGGCTGAGCCGTCAGCACCAGCCAAACAACCCACCGAGAGGGCGCAGGGCCTGCTCCAGAGCACTCTCCTTCCCACAGCTGAAGACACCATTTTAAGATCAAACACGCACACCAACCCCAACAGGCTGACAGGGAACGTCTCTGGACCTGGGCTTAGTTCCTGGCAAAGGGCACCGGCCGCGGGGGAGGCAGGGCAGCCAGGTGGCCAGCACGCAGGCCCTGAGGCCAGTTCCGGAAGCCCCGACCCCTCACTTGTCTGTGCCTCGCAGGAAGAGAGTGTGAGAATTCCACCCAATGGTGCACACGAGCAATGGGAGCCCCGTTCTCAGGAGGGACCCCCATCCTCGTCCCAGCACTGACAGGTCGACGGGCGCCACACCCTCTGCTTCACAGATGCCTTTCAATCAAGTATCAACAAGGTGACATTTCTAAATACGCTTCCAGCAGAGCGGGAAGCTTTTGAACATGCTGCTGGCGTGAAAATCCACGTGGCGTTAAAGAAAGGGAAGCCTGAGCTGTCCTGTGTCAGCAGTCAGAGAAACACTGTCTTCAGGACGCCTTCCTCCCGGAGCCCGGCTTAGCACCCAGCACCGCGCCCCGTGGGGCCTGCCTGCACGCGGAGGGTGCCGCACCCACGGCCGCCTCACCTGCACTCCGGGTGAGCGCTGCAGCGCCGTGGTGGGCTGCACCGTCGTCTGGGCCTGAGACACTTGCTTGATTATGGTCGTTGGGGTCACCTGCCGTGCAATAATAGGGGTCCCAGGTGCCTGAAAAATAAGCAAGCATCATCTAAAAGGAGCAGCAAGTGACAGTAACTCCCTGCCAGCCGGCGCAGCTAAATCAGCCTCCTGGTGCAGACCCGACACTGTCCGGCGCGTCGGGCCTCACGCTACAGTCGTCAACAAAGCCACCCCAATTCTTTTTTTTTTTTTTAAAGATTTTATTTATCTATCTGACAGAGAGAGACACAGCGAGAGAGGGAACACAAGCAGGGGGAGTGGGAGAGGGAGAAGCAGGCTTCCCGCCAAGCAGGGAGCCCGATGCGGGGCTCGATCCCAGGACCCCGGGATCATGACCTGAGCCGAAGGCAGACGCCTAACAACTGAGCCACCCAGGCACCCCAAAGCCACCCAATTCTAAGCTCTTCCTACCAGAGGAAAAGTGTAGGGTCAAAATACGTATGTACTGTAATAAAGCTAGCGCTAGGCTTCTTCACCCAAGTCTACAAACAAGGTCTTTAAAGAACATGAGTATCTGGGAATCAGTCCTGTGCGCATTTCTTTTCTTTTTTTTTTTTTTTAAAGATTTTATTTATTTATTTGAGAGAGAGAGAATGAGATAGAGAGAGCATGAGAGGGGGGAGGGTCAGAGGGAGAAGCA